TTCAATCAGTTCCCGATGCAATGATACGAGTGTTAAAAAGGTCATGAAGCTATATTCATGCCAGAGATAAATAATAATCGCGTGCAGTTAAACGAACGGGTTCCATCGGTATAGTATGTGCATGTGTGTTACCGAATGCTCAATATTTCATGGCCCAAATGCCGCTGTTATGAGATAATGGCTATTAAAGCCGGCACACTGTGCTATTACATATTTGTTGCTCTGTCATTTTCCTGAATTTTATTCCATTTTAGCGAGACAAAATTATTTCCCAGTTATTCTCCGAACGGCGATTTATGGTAATGTTTATTAATAAAATTTCTAAAGTTCCATCAGTAATTGAACAAAACCTAATTGTTTTCTTAATGCATTCAAACGCTTCGGCTGCCACTTTGAATAATTTCTAAAGGAGTTAGCGTTTCCATTCAGCTCAATTGTTCAATTCATCTATTCTTAATTAATAGGCCAAGCGAGTACTAAAAACGAGATTTGCACTAATTTTGTGGTTGCCTATTCTCCTTCATCCAATTACCACAAAGGGTGTAGTAACGCTACTGTCGCTATTATCTGCCCCTTAACTACTACAACGGAAAGCAAAATGTCTGTAAATTCTCATGAAGGAAGACAATATAGTAACAAAGATGAAATTCTACGTTAACGACTCTCTACCTACTTTTAAATTCTATTTCGTTATTTTTCCTTATCCACCCTTGCATCACAATCGATCTGTAAACAATCACGTACCTAATTTACTGAAGTTAATTGAAACCAATTCAACGACAGATATTAATTTCGTATGGATATTAAAGATTGGAAGTTCAGACAAGAGCTAATCTAATACAGGACAGCTCAGGTTTACGAACAACGATCGGTTAAGGAAACACCGTCCAGTAATGAGTTGCATTCCTCCACCCCCGGACTATTAATAGCGGCCTCCAGCGAGGCTATCTGCATCACGCAGACCTCTAATGGAATAGCAATGAAATTAGCAAAATAATGTCCTTAGTTTAATTGCTAACCGGGCCGCCGTTGGTCAGCCAGGAAATTAGTTTTGATTAACTTATTTCCCTAAGATTAAACGCTAAACTGATCGTTTCTAAAGATTACATTTTCATCGTTTCTGTGAAACTGAATATTTGAATACGATGATAACTGAACTATTGTGTTAAGCAAATCATCTCCTATTTCACGTCGCATTTCTTAAATATGGTGTACTCTCGTAAACTCTAGGTGAGGAGCTCATAATTGTTAATTTTTGCTTCCCGTTTTGCTACTGCGATGGAAAGGCGTGTGTTGATTTTCAATTTGGAATAGCAGTTTCTCTTAAAACTATGGGTTTCAGTGATTTAAAGGATAAGGTTATAAAATTAAGCAAAGTGTACTTAGACACTACCAACCTATACGGTTAGAGCAAATGATCAATTTACCACCATAACTGCACTCGACAAACTGAAACAGATTCAACATGTGAACGATGTTAATATTGCTAATCAATTAACTGAATTGCCTACATACAGTGCGTTTCGTTTCAATTTGTTCCCACTTCCAATCCTGTTGAGAATGGATTCTACTACCCGTAAAACCACTCTTAATTCAATAAAAATACGCTTCTTGACATTGATCTTTGTATTTTATTTTTATTTTTCTTGACATAACATTATTTACTTCGCAACTCGCTTAGCAACAACTTAATGATAATCTTAGCAACAAATAATGAGGATTTTCTATGTGTTGCCACATACTCCCACCTTTCATTTTACAAGAATTAAACATGAAATATTAAAAAAAAATACCCAAATGTACTTATAAATCAAGTCGCACAGGGGGCTTTACCGCACGACCTCCTCGAGTCTGTCTTATGGGGGCCAAAATACGTTCCTCTTTTTTGTCATGGCATACTTCAGCGACAGGCTGTCTCACGACTTCAGTTACCCTATCATTAGATTTAACATATGATGGAGGTATAGATTCCCCACCTTCTAAGGGATAACACCGTTGAACTGGTCTAACCAATTCCCCTGAAGCAGTACGCAATCTAACCACTCTAGTCACCCCATCGGACCCGGGATACATTCCTATGATAAGAGCAAGAGGCCAACACCCTCTCTTAGTCCCATCATTTCCTACAATAACAACATCTCCCATTTTCGGCTTAACTCCTCCCTTCTCATTTGAACGTTGCACTAACAGACTAAAATACCTATTCCTTTCGGAACCTACTTCTAAGGTCTGCCTTCAACCTAGCTTGATATCTACGTCTTTTATTAAAATTTGTAATTTCTACCTTGTCTATATCAATTACTTGACTAGTGGAGTTGTCCCGTAAAAACATCGAGGGCGATAATGGTTTCAAATCATCAATGTCTTCCGACATGTAAGTGAGTGGACGATCATTAATAGTCGATTCCACATCGCAAAGAACAGTGAGCAATTCTTCATAATGCAACAATGATCTACCTAATACTCGAACCAATAATTTTTTTATTAATTGAATCATACGCTCCCACCATCCTCCCCACCATGGTGCAGTGGGAGGAATGAATTTCCACTGAATACGTTGAGTGGTGTACATAGAAGAAATATAATCCCAGTCTAATGCACGAAATTCATTTTCACTTCCCAAAAAATTTGTTCCATTATCAGTATAAATAATGGTTGGACGCCCCCTGCGAGCAATAAACCTACGTAATGCTCGTAAAAAACCTTCAGTGCTTAAACTATTCACAAGCTCAATATGAATCGCACGGTACACAGCGCAAGTGAAAACAACAAACCAACTTTTACTATTATCTTTTAAATAAAGTGGACCGCCTAGATCGATTCCGATAATCTGAAACACTGAGGCTTCATCTACCCTATCTTTAGGCAGAGGGACCGCATCAGTCGAAAAACTCTTAGCCTCATACCTTTTGCATCTAACACATTTTTCACGAATCGCTTTGATAGTTTTTCTACTTTTAAAAATCCAAAACCTTTCTCTAAGTTTGTTCATCATTATTTGAGTTCCGGCATGAGAATTATTTTCATGACTTTCCCTAACCAATGAATCAACCAGTACATGTTTAGCAGGTAATAATATTGGATACTTAAAATCATATGAGTCATTTCTCCGAGAAATCTTTGTAAAAACTCGAATAGTCCCCTTATCATCAATAATTGTTCGTATTTTATTCTTTCCTTGGTTCAGAATACTTTCTCTCTGAATCAAATTAACTATTGCGATTTCAGCCTCATTGATTTCCTTGACTGATAATGGGCCTGTAATCTTGCCACTACGTGAATTACATGCAAATCGTTTAATCCAAGATACTACTTTTAATATTTTGGAGTATTTTACCCCCCGCTTGCATAGTTCCTCTGACCAGTTACAAAGTTTTTCACCAACAACTAGAGTTACGTGAGTTCTCTTTAATTCTGTAACAACTTGTGACTCATCGACATTAGCTGATTCAAATGACCAGGTCGAATCTGCCAACCATTTAGGCCCCTCCCACCAACGTGACTAACAATTTTTCAGGAGTGCATCCACGTGAAGGCAAATCCGCTGCGTTTTTACTAGTTGGAATATAATTCCATTCGCTAATTGAACTATTTTTTAAAATTTCATTAACTCTGTTTTGCACAAATACCGACCAATTTTGGTTTCTTTTAATCCACGCTAAAGCCGTGGTTGAGTCGCTCCAATAATTACATTTTAAATTAGTGACTGGTAAAACAGCTTTTACTGATTTAACCAATCTAACACCAATCACACAAGCCATCAACTCTAATCTAGGTATTGATGCCGGTTTGAGAGGACACACTCTTGCCTTTGCTTGCACAAATTGAACAACAAACTTATTTTCACTGACAGGATATCGTAAAAATATTACTGCAGCATAAGCTGATTTACTTGCATCACAAAACACGTGTAAAACCCAATCATTATCTACAGAATTATCAGATATCCACCTCGGTATCTCTATATTGTTTAAAAGTTTAACTTGACTTGACCACTTTTCAAATTAATTTTTTATATTTACTGGCAGTGACTCATCCCACCCTACTTTTTCTGCCCATGCTTGTTGCAATAAAATACGTGGGACAATAGTGGCCGCTACCAAGACTCCTAAAGGATCGTATAACCCATTAAGAATAGACAACATTTGTCGTTTGGTTAATTTACCATTTTCAACTTCAGGTATATCACAACTTAAAGTATCAGTTACTTTGTTCCACTTTAAGCGTAACAATTTTACTACTTGATTTGAACCAGTAGGGATAGTTTCATTATTATGAATCACAGTATTCTCCCACATACGGAGTTCCATTTTGGCTTCTGCCAAAAGTTCCGTAGCTGTTACTTTAAATTGCTCCATTTCCTCGACCGAATCAACAGAGACAATGCAATTATCTACATAGAGACTATTTTTTAAAATTTGTGCACATTTTTGATTCGATGGTGCAGCATTGTCTAAATGATAAGCAATTACTGCATTTAATAAAAAAAGACTGCAATTTATTCCAAACACAACTCTTTTATGCCTGTACACCTGCATTTCTTTGGTGTCATCTGACTTCCACCATAAAAAACGCAAATAATCACGGTCATTAGAGTTAACCTTAATCATCATAAAAGCCCTCCTTATGTCGGCGACAAGACCAATACGTTTTTCACGAAATTTTAAAATTAAGGAAGGAATAAGCTGCAAAAAATTAGGCCCTTTTTCCAAATGATCATTTAAAGAAGGATTTCCCGCTGAAGCGTCAAACACGGGTCTAACCGGTGTCGTCGTGCTTTCTACTTTAAATACGGGTCTATGGGGCAAGTAATATCCCTTCATGTCCCCATCACTCACTTTTTCAATTAAATCTTCCCCTTCCCATTCCACAAACATGTTGTTGTAAACTTTAAATTGATCAGATAATTTTAATTTTTGAGTTAACTTGGACAAACGTTTTTCAGCAATTTTTAAATTATCAGGCATTGAAATTTTATCGTTAATCCAAGGTAAACTCACCACATATCGCCCTTCAGCATCTCTTTGAATAGTTTTTAAAAACTGCTCATAACATATTATACGTTCTCTCTCTTCCCTTGACTGTACCTCAATTGGATCAGTAATACCTAAAAGTTCTAACCTCCACAAATCTGAAACATCAACATTACTCAAAGCTAAACATGAGACAGCCATTGCCAACCCTTCTGAAACAAAATTATTTTTAATTTCACCAAGAACTGTCCATCCAAAAATGGTCTCCATTGCTGTTAGTCCGCATTCGAGCCTCACTGCTTTTCCGAACACAATACTACCGTAGTAATCGCAACCAATAATTATCTCCACATCAGTGTTCTCGCTCGTCATATCATTAATCCAAATATTCTTGTCGGATAACTCACGTAACCACGGACCGCTATTTAATTTGGGAATATATTCACAAATTGTCTTCTGTCCCAATGCTTCGATTTCTTGAGTTGTTGTACTGTTTAAAGACTGTAGCATAAATTTGTATTTATTTATTGTTCTAGCAGGTGTAATGGATCCTCCAAAAACTGCTTGTGCTAAATACTCCGTTTCCACAAACATTGCTCCTACACTCTGCGCGACATCTTCTTTTACGTAGCTTCGCTGTGCCCCACTATTAAGTAATACCCTCGCATTAAAACTCCCTTTTGAACCAATGAGTTTCACCATTATGGTTTGTAGTAAAACATGATTTCTATTCTGAGTAGCCATAGTCGTAACTGGTACTGTTTTCTCTTCTGGCTTGTCGTTATCTTGCGAACGAGGTGGAATAGGACATAAAATAGCAAAATGTTTCCTTGAGCATACTGGACAACTTATTTGTTTTCTGCAAAACCTTGCTCCATGGCCTCCTGCCAAACAACAAAAACAACGCCTCTTCTCATGCACCTTTGATCTTCTCTCTTCTAAAGTTAAATTTTGTGCTTTTATACATCTGTCACTGTCATGATTCCCATCACAAGATACACAATTGCCGTCTTTACGAACTGCACTTATATGACTAGCCGTGTGTAATCCAGCTGCTGTGTGGAAGGATTTATCATCGATCTCATTGCGTGGTTTTTGCTGGCCTTGATGTATAGATCTCGAGATAAGACAATCTCGAGCGAATTTAATCCGCTCTTCTCCTTCCACTTCGATTTCTAGAAATTTCATCAAATTGGCTAATTTATCGAGGTTAGTGTCTTGAATAACATAACTTCTTTGCCAAGCTTGTAAAGTTTCATTGGGCAAACTTGACTCAACTAGTGGAAATAGCATAGCCGCATATTTTTCTCTTGTAACACCCAATGACTCTAGAGACTTTAAATGTGATTCTACACATGACACTTAACGCTTTAGATTTTGGGTTTTGACAATTGCTGATTACTAATTTTAGCAATTCACGTACGTATACTTCAACCAAAATCTCTTCCTTTCCAAATCTCTTCTTCAAAGCTTCTATCACCTTACTGTAGTTGTCATCAGCCTGGGGATAACTTGACACGACGCCATATGCTTTGGAGCCTTTTGTAATTGACTGCACCAAATATTGAAACTTTTCTGAAACAGGCAATTGCGGATCTTCGTGTATATTTTTGAATTGAGCCCAGAACCCTAACAATTCCCTTAAATCGCCTTCAAACCTTTTAATTGTAATTTTTGGGTATTTGGTGTTGTGTGGTGTTCGTAGATTTACTGTAGACGAAAGTCCTTCACTAACTACCACATTTGAAGCTTTATCATTAGTCGCGACCCTTTTACCTTCAAAATAGTTTTCAGTTCTTATTTTAGCCATCCTATAAGATTCTCTATACTCTTCTTGTGCGAGAAACTCAGTTTCTTGTGAATCTTCTCCTATATTATCATCTTCTGCCATTAACTCCAAAATATGATTGTCATAATCGTCGATTTTTCGAGCATTCTCGTGTAAACTTTCTAACTTGACTTGTAATCTTAATTCATCGACCGATTCTTGATTGAGCAAATCTCCTATTGTATTTATTAACCTTGTTAATTGGGTTCGTACTGGTGCTCTTGCCTTCTTCAATTTATCCATAGTACAAACAAATCGTATACCTACGCTTATCCACAACACAATCACGTCGGGGTCACCAAAATGTTGAGAATGGATTCTACTACTCGTAAAACCACTCTTAATTCAATAAAAATACGCTTCTTGACATTGATCTTTGTATTTTATTTTTATTTTTCTTGACATAACATTATTTACTTCGCAACTCGCTTAGCAACAACTTAATGATAATCTTAGCAACAAATAATGAGGATTTTCTATGTGTTGCCACAAATCCCTTTTAACTTTCTGAAATGAAATTCGTAGGTATACAGACTAGTTATTTAGTGTCAGTAGGATATTATCCTAGCACTTTCACTATTACGATGCATTTACACAACATATGCATTTGAACCTAAATAATTCGTAAATCTATCAACTACGCTTTACCTTTAACATTATTTTCGCCTTATCATGAAGTGATGTCTTTCCTGTTTAATTGGAAAATTACGTACGCAGCAACTTCTCAATTTCCCCTTATAATGCGTTTGATAATCATTGTTACCATTTTTCGTGTGCAAGTTGCTTTTTGCATTGTTCCAATATATGAATGTACTTCAAGGTTGAATAAAGGACAGTATGCTCCATTAACTATCAACCATAATGATACGTCAGAGAGGAAATGGGCATTTATACCATTTTCGTTACACAAAAAATTGATAAAAATCGAACGAATATTGAATTTAGAGACGTCTTTTAATAAATACCAAGTTTACAACTAGTAACAATTAGAAAAACGGTCTACACTCAAGTCTCAAACCTCACCTTTGGCTTTCAAAACAAACTGGGTTAAATGTCAATTACCTTAAAAAAAACAGTCTACGCAAAAATAATAAATAAACACGTGGAGAACTTAGGACGCGGTAGACTAGAACGCTATGACTATAAGAAAAATAATGCAGAAATGTCGTATACTGGGGGTTCTCGTGCGTAAAGGGTGCGAAGGCTCGCAATTCGTCGAATATCTATCGTCTGATTTCCTTCTTAACAGGAAATGCCTTCTACAGTTGCTGGTGTGCTGAAGATAGCAAACCGGAAAACGGTCCGAGGGCTGCTAATGCCTTTTTGGTAACAATGTTAATATTGCGCAAACTGACGCAGGTTCAAGAATCGCGCTTGTTCAATTAGAGCCGTTATTTTTTCTCCATAAGTCAGGTTCTCGCGGTGTGTCCGATTAACAGCAAAATTGCAGAATAGGCACTCTTCTATAAAAACGAGTTGGTTCGGGTTTTGTCAGTTCAACATTGGGACAGGAATAAACTTCATAACTTGCTTTTCTCTAATATTTTAAATGCGCATATAGCCCATACCTGTGACCTATTATTTAAAATACGGATGGTTTAATCAGGTGTAACTACATTTAAATAACTACAAATGACGCGACCCGTTACATAATACACTCCCTTGTTTTCCTTTCGGCGAAATAAGCGCAGAATTCAAAGAACGAGAATCGGGCATAGCCTTCTTGCAATGGAAACCAACAAACTGTGTTCCGGAAGTAAAACCTTATTTTACAGCAGCAGATCTTGAATTGAAATTTTAAAAGGTTTGAATGAGTATGCTAAGTCTCTCTTTAACAGTACGAGTAGATAAAGTGACCACTTTAACGGCAAGGGTAGATAAGGTGAAACAAATAACATCTGTCATTTCTATTAAACATGGTACGAAGGCACAACCTAAGGTTACTATTGTTGACGTCTAAATTAAATTCAGAATTTTCAAAAGTTTTAGACTGATTTATATGGCTTCTGTTACAGAATAAAGTTTTGAATTATACACGACAATTAATAAAGGGCAACTAATCTTCTCGTAACTGGATCGTTAAAAAATCCCTTTATCGTCGTGTATAGTAAATAACTGTTACGAGACTCTTCCAACGAAAATCAATTTTAGGATTGGTCGGGTACACCCAAAAACTAGAAATGGAGAAGGAGGTAGTCATTGCTCGTAGAGTAGAAAAAAGCTGGCAGATGAAATAATAGAGCCCAGGGTCCTCAAGGTACAGTTCACGGACGGCGTAGTAACGAAAAAAACAACAAGGCGTTGGACGACTGTGCAGGGCTATCCGTCGTTCAGGAGACGCTATGAGACCTAGGCACGGCAAAAGTGTTTTCAAAACTAGACCGCGTACTGACAAGTTCCGATGGAGCCCGAATCAAAATACCTAACTGTCTTTACAGCATCGGACGGACCCAGCTATCAATTCAAAGTCATGCCTTTCGGCCTTAAACATGCGCCGGCCACATTACAGAAATCACTAAGGTCATCTTAACATTTGAAATTTTCTGGGCATGCCGATGGGAAGACTTGATCCGTCTTATATGAATGACGTAGAGAACAAAGAGTGTCTTCTCGTGGTATTTTTACCAGTTGGTAAAAATCGCCGATCAAGAAGTTTTACCATTTACTGGTTGTGGATGCCGTTGTCGCCCCTATAATTTATACCGTAAATATAGAGCATTATACAAGATTATTTGTCGGCTATCGCAATGGTATATATTTCGCTCAAAATGTAAGCTACCATACAATTGCTGGATAGACAAGAGAGATGGCAACCGGCAAAAAGTTTAAAGTGTTTGTGCTTTCTTTCGCTGCAAAGAATGGTATTTCCAAACTTTGGAACATTGATCATTTTTCCCATACATAAATAAATTAGAATTAATAAATGGCAAGGAACCTGAAGGACGTTTGTGCCGATTTCAAATTCGTCAACCATACTTCGAAATTCACTTTCAACTGTAGTGTACTTAACCAGGTTCTACGTTAACTTCACACTACAAGAACACGGAAATAAAGTCAACCCGGCAACGTTTAAAAATGGCCACCCATATGAAGATTCCTTCCAAAACTAAACAAGATCCCGCTCAAATTTTAGAAGTGGCACGTGATAAAACATCTAAGACAGGGCCCCCTTACGTTAGTTGTAAACAACCCTATGACCTGAAGCACAGTAGGGAAAGAACGTAAAATAAACCAGTGAAATTGTGAAAAGTTTGTTTAATAATGATCGTAATTATTATGATTGTAAAAACTCGGAAATTTAAGTCAAAACAAAATACATTGCAAAAATAAACTTTGAAAATGGTAGTTCACCGAGTAAAAATAGAAATAGGCTGGAAAAAAAAGATCTTACCAATAAAAAAAAACCAGCCGTCAAATTAATATTAAATTGTGTAGTAAAATTAATTGTTTCATGTTTGTAATGATGTGAATGCGTAACATAAAATTATAACACCACAAAAAGTAGCAGGTAAACTTCAAGAGGGAACATATAGGCTAAAAACAAGTTTTGGGAATTATAGGTCAGGTAAGCAGGTACCAAGATTCTAAGAAAGGGTGAAATACACAGGATGTGACTCATCTTTGGTGTAATAAAGTCCTTTTGTTAAAAGCAAGATGGGAAATTGCATGGCATTGTAGGCAAATTTAACTAAAAACAAAATATGGGGAAATTACGAATCGTAACTCATTTATCGTACATAGATTCTAAACTGGAAAGATTTGGTTAGCATAATCCGGCTCCGGCAAGATAGGTAACCCGCCCCTGGTTTCGGGGTTTCTAGCCTACAGTTGAATGTCGCAGACAATCACGGAATTAGGTGTAGTCGCTCAATTTTGACTACAGTTTTTACCACCTCCGTGACTGCTTCATTCACGGAGAAAATTGTTAGTTACAAACAACAAGTCAGTACATACATAAAACGAATCGGTAATTTCCACACATTAAAATAAAATGATCAAAACTTAGATTAATGTTCCTTCAGGGACAAGACCAAGTAGTCAATATTAATTAACATAAATTAAGCAAACATTACACCAAAAACGTAAACGATTACAAACAAAGAGATAACGGTATTAAACATACTATACATTACTAACATTGCATTACGGTTAAATCAAGTAAATTTCAAAAACAAAGATTGAAACACACAAAAAATATAAAATGCGGCATACAAAACACAAATGCGATATAAAGAAATGCAAAAATTACTACCAGCATTACATAACACAAAATGACAACAAACTTTTATGGAGCGACTCGTTCACGACCGACATTCAAGACAAGATGCCAAACGTAACCCACGGTCGTGCAGTCCATCGTATGGTTACATGACCCTCCCACGAATCAACTTTTTACCTAGTTTAGTTACCTATATTAAAAACTAGGTGCTTAGGAAATGAAAAACATCGGAAATCGCGAATTCACAATTACCTGGCCAAGATGAGGATATCGCCATGAAAATAGTACCTACAGGACGACTTTGCTTAGTTTTAAGAGTGTGGATAACCATCGCAAACCTATTTGCAACCAAGTAGAAGCGAGCGACTATAACAAACACTCACCACCTACCTGCTTCTCCATTATTACAAAATAATTAGCAAAATAAAGACTGAATATCATGACGTAGGTACACGCATTCGTACAATTTACCAGTTTACAGAAAGCTGAAAACGCGGGGGAAGCGAGTTGGGGTTGCGATCAGATAACGGCGTGAAATCAGCGCATAACAACGCGGTTTACCCTATTATAACACGGTGCTCACTTCACCCTCGCACACTGTACGATCACTTACCCGTTTTACCCACACGAGCCATGTAACTTCGTATAAATGCATTCTAGATAAATCGCCCCGATAAAATATGGACTTTAGTTTCGTATTAATGTAGAGAATGATGCATGCGGCAATATTAGGTACGGTGTGTGCGTATACATACGCACGATGTAAACAATTATGAATGCGGAGTCAATTTGAATTTACATAAATTCGAATATGAAATGACTCAGATTATTTTCGCATTATTGGAAGTGGTCCCATTAATATGTATGGACAGGTACCTTTTCGTCCGATTGGGTAATGTAATTATTTCTCTGCATCATTACATCGCAATTCCAACTCTTAACCTAACACAATTTTCTGTAGGGATCTTTTACATAATTATTTAGGTGTAATAACATGACGTTGCAGGCTATTATCAAAGAGGTA